ATCCTTATTTAATTGTGTTTGTTTTTGCTTGCTTAATATTTTACAGTTAACACACTTTTCATAGTGATCCAGGTACTATTAATAACTTCAATTCTCTTTTTTTATGTTATTAATGCTTGCTCCTATGTTATAAATATTTACCGTTGTTTTTTTTATTAGTTTTATTATTATTCAATAAAATTAAAATGTTTATTTGTATTTTATCTTCTTACCAAGTTTTTAATATATACCATTTTCTTTGTTCATTGCTTTTGTCAACCTACGGATTTACTATATATCATTATTCAATGGCATTCAAATATTTATTTGCACTTTATTCATTTTTTGGCATTATATTTAAGTATGCTTTTAATTTAGATGTTTTAGTTCTTCTCTTTAGCTTGATTTTAGTTGCGATGCTAAGGGTTTTGTATTATTAAATATTTTTTTTTTCTACATTTTCTTTGTATTTATGACATTCTCTCATGATTTTGTGTTATCAACAATTTCTTATATTTTTACTATTGCTACCTGAATTAAAATTTGTTTTCCTATAATATTATTACAATATAGTAATAAAAGAAACCACATCAGAATTATTTATCTATACTAAATTTACTATTTTCATAATAATATTTCATCATATTTCTTCCTTTTCCTCTTCTTTTTTTGTTTGTAAGTGATGGATCTGTTGGTGTTTTACATTCTCCTCATATATTTGGACAATTTTGTTCTCATAATGTTAGTTTTTTCTCATATACATTCTTCTATTCACCTTTGTTTTCTTCGTTTTTCCTCTTTATGTTTGATCAATCTATATTTTTTACTTTGTTCTTTTTTGTACCTGTTCTGTTTTTGGAAAATGATTTTCATTTCTTTCATTTTTTTTTATTCACTTAGTAGTTTTTGAATAATTTCATATCTTACTCTGCTTCATTATTTTTTATGAAATATACATTATAATATATATGATGAATCAAATATTTTACAAAGTATTATACCTTTATGGAGTTGCCTACAGTACCCAATCATAAAATGATTATAATAATATAATTCTATTTGTTCATCACATATTGATGAAAAAGTTCAAGACTTGAATAATAATAACTATATAAAAATACCATGATATTGGCCCCTTATGAATCTCCTTTTGGCTACTACATTTTTCATTCTTTTTTCTTTTGTATTTTTTCTCTGCCCGTTTTTCTGTTTTTGTTCATTTCTATTGATTTAGATATTAGCAGGAACTTTATTTTGCATGTTATCTGTTGTGTGGGAAAATGTGATGGACACCTGGACCAACGGCGCCACGACACCTGGCTATACTTGCTTTCCGCCGAGCACTCAACCCTCGACGCTTCGTTTCCCTCAAGATCAGCTATAGAGCCCGAAGATGAAGTCCATGATTAGGGCGACGACCCCGTGAGGCGTCGACGGTTGATTCCGCCTGGGTTGACACGACAAGATCCCTCGACTGCAGAAGAGATCACTAGAAGGGGCGAGAAAGGTTAAACAACCACTGACGACGAGGGGAACGTCCCTTTTCGACATGATAGGTTACATGCAAAGATAAGAGAAGTCTGACAGCATTAATTGCAAGTTTACAAACCGCCCCCCAGGGGACAGAAAAGCATTACGGAGAGTCACAGAGCCGTAATAGAAGACTAATTGGTTGAGTGAACAGTCCTAATTAGTGGGCTATGTCTGGGCCTAGAGAGGGAGAGCGCTTGAGTGTTCCTACCTACGAAGGAAACCCACCCAGTGAAGGAAGCCCGAGTATAAAAGAAGAAGGACCCCAATAGGGAAGGGGGCCAGAAAATTCCAAAGGAAAAAGAACGAGAGAGAGAGAGATAGCATTCATTGTAAACTATGATCTCCACAAAAGAAATATAATATATACAGTGGATGTAGCTCTAATTTTATAGAATGAACCACTATAAAATTCTTCTTGTTCATTTATATACAGTTCATTCAAACACAAAAATACTTAAATCAAACTAGAATCCACACTTTCATTAAACCCACAAGCCGGTAATCCAAAGGGTAACCCCAAGGTAATCCGGCGGGTTTATTGTTGACGAAATCCAACCGTCAACAATTGGCGACTCCGCTGGGGATCGGAAGCGTTCAACCCCCGAAAGTATAGTTACAAACATCCATCCGCCCAAATAGTAGCGGGATGGAAGGAGATTTACGCTCAGACGGAAATGGAGTCTCACCTCCCGACGCACCACGGCCGGATTTGATGCAGATGCAAGCCCAAATAGCCACTTTGACCGAGTTAGTACGTGGGCTAGTAACCGTGGTTGAACGATTAGACGGAAGGAACTCCGTGCCGCCACTAGAGGATGCCCCAAGATCACAGGGACCTGTCATGATGGAAAATCCAAATCACGGTAACCGCCCGCATATCCAAGAAGGGACCGGGGAAAGCGAGAACCATCAGGGCCCTCATAGGCCTCGACCTTCCCATTCCTCCGGCAGCCGTTTGAGAGCCGCTGGGATCCGAGCCATCGAGGAACTGCCCCAAAATCCCGGAGGAAACCGGCCAGGAGACTCAGGGTCGGTGCAGGCGGGCGGGCAGGCCAGAGGTGGGCCCATCGCTCAAAGGGCGGAAGCGCCGGGAGCTGCTGGTTCAGTTGTATCAACAGAAGAAGCGCGGACCCTCATGGAACGCATGGCCAACCTGGAAAGAAGACTGACCGGGGACGTCGCAGGGCTGAAAAAGAACATTGGGCGGGTGGGCGAGGTGGTAAACGTCGACATTACGCCCAGTCGTACGCATGACCATCCGTTCACCGCGGAGATAATGGCACCCCCTCTCCCCGATAAATACAAGTCGCCGTCGATTCCACCTTACGACGGACGAGGAGATCCCGACGACCATTTGGAAATGTATACGGGGCACATGCTCTTGCACGGATACGCCGAGGAAATCATGTGCCGAGCCTTTCGAAACCACCTGACAGACTCTGCCCGAAGATGGTTCCGAACGCTGAAGCCAAACTCTATCTCCAGCTGGGATGAACTAAAGGAAGTATTTTCCCTCCAGTTCATCGGGGTTAAAAAATACATACCCCCAAAGCAGAACCTAATGACGATATATCAAAAACCAAATGAGACGTTAAGGGAGTGGCTCGCCAGATACGGCGAGGCCGTCACCGTTACGATGGATATCACAGACAGAGAAGCCATGATGGGAGCGTTATCCAGTATGAAGAAGATAACTCCCTTCAAAAGGGAACTAAACCGAAAACCCCCTTCCAGCTACAAAGAGTTCCTTACAAGGGCGCAAGGATACATCAATGCTGAAGAAGCGGATGCCAACGACCCCGATCATAGGTCCAATAAAGGTAAATGAGCCGAGCAGGGGTCGGCGCCATCAAAGCAAGACGGGAAGAAGCGTCGAGGAGGAGGAAGTGGAGACAAACAACCGATCCTGACGCAAGGAGCGTCGGAGGCCAAGAAGCGAAGACAGGAGGATACCCGCAGGCCTCGGCTGTTTCAGAAATACGACACCTACCAAGAACTGACAGTAGGCGTCGAGGAGATCTTCAACCAGATCGGCCGAGGAAACTTGTTGCGCCGACCTGGACCAATGAAGTCGGATCCTAACCAAAGGAACCAGAAGAAATTCTGTAGGTTCCATGGCGAGGTCGGCCACCACACGAATGATTGCGCTGACCTCAAAGATGAAATCGAAAGAATAATCCGCGAGGGAAGGCTGCAGGAATTCAGGGCCGAACGAAAACCTCGCAACAACGGCCATGGCGGGCAAAATGACGGTCGACGCCGAGAGGAGAACCACCGCCCGGAAGATCGGGAACCTGTCGGCATCATACGAATGATCCTCGGCGGCCCCTACATAGAAGGAGACACGCGGAGGTCGCAGAAGGACTACGCCCACGAGGCCAATGGGGTATACCAGGAACGGTTCTGGAACGTCTCCGCCGTAAAAATCCTGAGGCAAAGCCACACTGACGTGGCCTTCAATGAGGATGACGCCAGCAGAGTCCATTTCCCCCACAACGACGCACTGGTGGTGGAAGCAGTGATCAAAAACCACACCGTGTGTCGAATCTTGGTGGACAATGGAAGTTCGGTAGACCTCATGTATTCCGACTGCTTGGAGAAAATGGGGATCCACGAGGGGCAGTTGGAAAGAACCACCAGGCCACTGTACGGGTTCACGGGAGACTCCGTCATTCCTCAAGGTACTATTCGACTACCTATAACCGCCGGAGAAAAACCCCGACAGGCAACAACGATGGCCAACTTTGTGGTCATCAAAGGAGGCTCCCAATACAACGCAGTAATCGGGAGACCAACCCTCCAGGCATTGAAGGCAGTAACCTCCGTCTACCACCAAAAGGTCAAATTCCCCACCCCAAACGGCGTAGGAGAAATTAAGAGCAACCAGTACGAAGCCAGGATTGCATACTCCGATGTCTTACGCGGATATGACCAGCCGGGAAGACAGGAAATGAGGATGGTTCAACATGGCCTCGTTGAGGATATAGACCCCGGGTTCAAGAGGAAGTTACTTGGTCTCAGCCCGTCGAACAGTTGGAAGAAATCCAGATTGACGAAAGCGGAACCACCAAAATACTAAAAATAGGTTCGGACTTGACCCCACCGCTCAAAAGCAGGATTGAAAATTTCCTCAGGCAGAACCTGGATGTCTTCGCCTGGAGCCACTCCAACATGGAGGGGATCGACGCCAAAGTAATGTGTCATTTCCTAAACGTCGACCCCACGTATCCTCCCAAACGCCAAAAACGGCGACTAATGAACCCTGAGAGGTACGAAGCGCTGAAGGAAGAGGTCGACAAGTTAATCAACAATGGATTTATCTGGGAGGCGCATTATCCACGTTGGGAATCTAATCATGTCTTGGTAATCAAACCCAACGGGAACTGGAGAACATGCGTCGACTTCAGTGACCTCAACAAAGCATGCCCAAAGGACGGCTTCCCACTCCCTCGAGTAGATCAAATGGTCGACGCCACGGCGGGGCACGAAATGCTGAGCTTCATGGACACTTACTCCAGATACAATCAAATCCCCATGCATCCAGCCGACGAAGAGCACACATCTTTCATAACCGATAGGGGTCTCTACTGCTACAAGGTGATGCCTTTCGGCCTAAAGAATGCAGGGGCTACTTACCAAAGGCTAGTAAATAAAATGTTCGCTCAACAGATCGGCAAAATGATGGAGGTCTACGTCGACGACATGCTCATAAAAAGCGCCAGGGCCAGCCATCATGTCGATCATCTGAGAAAGATGTTCAGCATATTGAGAAAATACCGCATGAAACTTAATCCCCAGAAATGTGCCTTCAGAGTCGGGTCGGGAAAGTTTCTCGAGTTTATGGTCAGTTACCGCGGGATTGAGGCCAACCCTGAGAAGATCAAAGCTCTGCAAGATATGCGGTCACCAACAAGGCCAAAAGAGGTGCAAAGATTGACAGGTTGTGTCACCGCCCTAAATAGATTCATATCGAAAGCCACTGACAAGTGTGTCCCCTTCTTCGACGCTTTGAAAGGAAACAAGCACTTCGAATGGACACCACAGTGCGAGGAGGCCTTCCAAAAACTGAAGGAGCATTTGGACAAACCTCCAATTTTGTCAAAACCAAGCGCTGACGAAGACCTCAGCCTATACCTCTCCGTGTCCCAACACGCCGTGAGCTCCGTACTAATAAAGGAAGAAGGGAAGGTACAATTGCCGATCTACTATGTGAGCAAAAGACTCCTCGACGCCGAGTCGAGATACAACGAAATGGAACGTCTAGCCCTCGCCTTGATGATAGCTTCGAGAAAGCTTTGGCACTACTTCCAATCCCGCACAATACGAGTTCTCACAAACCACCCGTTGAGACAGGCCTTACAAAAGCCGGAAACGTCCGGACGGCTCCTCAAATGGTCGGTAGAACTGAGCCAGTTTGATATAAAATACATGCCGAGAACCGCTATTAAAGGTCAAGCGCTCGCCGACTTTCTGGCTGAATTCTCTCACAGGCCGACCTACACCCCATCTGAAGAAATTGAGGTTGCAAGATGGAAGCTTTACGTGGATGGGGCGTCGAGCGAAAACGGATCAGGAGCCAGCGTCTTACTAATCAGCCCCGAAGGCCACAAGATTACCTCGGCGGTACGGTTCAAATTTAAAGCATCAAATAATGAGGCGGAATATGAAGCCCTAATTGCCGGACTACGTTTAGCGAACCACTTAAAGGTCGAGAGAATCAGCGTCTACAGCGACTCCCAGCTAGTCGTCGCGCAAATAAAGGAGGAATATCAAGC